TATCCTGAAGAAGAGAAGTTCGATGTCGAGTGGGAGTGCTTGTTCCAGCTATACCAGAAACGCTCTCTCGATGTTCAAATGTTGACGTTGTGGACTATGTAAGTACCCTAAACGCACGATATTACAATTAACTACTCTCTCGAGACACAAATTGTTAACTTTTGAGCACTTCCCATGATTTTATGTAGGTGTATAGCAAAATTTTGCATTCTAAAAAGCAAATGGGATTACATAGGCTTCTTGGACCCCATGCGAGTCAATGAGAGGACATGTCTAGGCCTCTATGGATGTGACATGGAAGACCTAAAACAGAGATTGATTGCTGTTTTCGATGAATTCACGATGAAGAAGAAAACCCACATACTTCTAGCCTACAACTGCGAGTATGTGTTCTCGGCTTTTAATTTTATGCTTCTTTTTTCGTTAAGATTATTCGATAATTAGGATTCTGTGATTGTAGCAACCATTTCATCTTCATTTGTGTTAATCTTGCCAAAAAGCTGCTCGAGGTGTGGGACTCGAAAAAAAAACCATTTCATCATCTGGATGCACCGGTGGCAGTGGTGAATTAGTAAGCAATCCTAATAACTATTATTTTCTAATCACAAATACCGCTTTCTAATGTTTCTCCTTTTCATGTTGCTCAGTGTCCGAAGAAGACATATCGGTGGGACGCCAGTCACATTCAAGGTTGTCGAAATGGAGGGGAAGTACTTATCACAGCCGGTGAAAAACAATGAATGCGGGTTTTATGTAATGTGGGCAATGCTTCGCTACATCGGCGGGAAATCGGAAGAAGCCGATAAGTTGGTGTGTATAATCTCCATTTCATTTATGTCTGTTAATAATTCAACAAAATAATTTACTGTTCCTCTTTGGATATCATCTTTTTTGAACGACAGCGCAAGAAATATAAGCATGAAAGGCTGCTAGACATGGAGATCATCGCACTACAATCGGAGCCGGCAAAATTCATCTTAGCCGAGGTATTGGGAAAAGATGGAGTATTTTCCATTGCACAATCCGTAAAGTATAAGGACCGGTATGGCTCAGAGCGGCTCGCCAGATTATTGTAGGAAGTCCGAGAAGCATGTGTGAAGTCCAAGAACATTTCTTTTTTATTTTGAGGGATCGAGATGTGGATAAGAACATTTGAATTGTAATCGTAACATTTGTAATGTTTAATATTGATGGACCTGTCGTCTACGTAGCGTATATAAAGCGAAACCCGGTTCCACAAAAAAATATAAATTAAAATAAATTATAAAACAATAAAATACGAACGGGCCATCACCGCCGGTTAGCAACAAACCGGCAGTGTTGTCGTAACTATCACTGCCGGTTAGAAGGAAACTGACAGTGTTGGCTTGCTCAACACTGCCGGCTTGAACCATGAACCGACACTGATATTTACTACAACACTGTCGGTTTGATCCATGAACCGACACTGATATTTACTACAACACTGCCGGTTTGATTCATGAACCGACAGTGTAGGCTTGCTCAACACTGCTAGCTTGAAACAAGAACCAACACTCTTGAAGCAACCGTCACTGTCGGTTGGCACTACAAACCGGCAGTGTTGTTCAATTGGACACTGCCGGGTGGAGCCAGGAACCGACACTGTTTCCTGTAGATCAGTGTCGGTTTTTAAGGACCGACAGTGATGTCAACCCCCCATTATTGCCGGTATGCCACTATCGGTTCAAAATCCGGCAGTGAAGTGGGTTTTTGAATCGGCAGTGATGTCCAGATCTGGGGTAGTGATGGTTGAAGACTTGTCTTATCATTCCTATGTATACAGCCCTATGTAACTGTTCCTTTAACATGTATTATCGATTACCAACCGATATTAACATATGTCGTAATACCAGTGCTATCTTTGTTTCCGGCCATAGCATCTTCGATTTTATCTCTTCTTTATCTCTATCTCTACAACTAAAACATACGGATTGTCAATATCTACCCGACAGACCAAAACACTCATACGACCCATATCCGGTAGGCAAATAATTACTGCACGAAGACACTAGAAGGCAAGTAAATAAAATAGAATAAAACTCATGGAATCACCGGCAGGCAAATAATCACCGCATGGAGACACTGGAAGGCAAGTAAATAAAATGAAATAAAACGGAAAGAGAATTTAGGCCTCTTCGTACCATTACCGACCATTTTCAACACTATACGTAACCTCGAGAAAAGCAGGTTCTGCGCCTAGTTTACTTATATTCCAAATATAGTATAGACACAGAAACTTGCATATTTATATACTCACGGATATAAATACACGTAGACCCTATTTCCCAGCTGAGCACCTCAAAGCTGATCTTAAGATTAATGCATCTTAATATACCGAAATGCACCACTGAAACAATAATATAATGTTGAGTTAAATGCACCAGCGGCCCTCGAGCTTGTAAGCGTATGTCACTTGGGTCCACGAACTCGGAAAATATATTTTTGGATCCCTAAACTTGTCAACTGGTGCACCACAACTCCATTTAATACACGTAGGTATTTTTACCTGATGTGGCATGGCAGCGTGGCATGTGTTTTTACGTTTAACCCCTCTAATTCTCTCTTCTCACGTAGTATCCCATGACCAGAGCATGGCGTGGTTCAGAAATGTCCCGCAGGCCCCTGCTGCAGCGGCGCATACGCGACGCCGACGGCGTGCCGCCCAACGGCCTACTCGTCCGTGTTGAAGTCGGCGTGGCCGCGCACGTACAGCTACGCCTATGACGACGGCTCCAGCACCTTCACCTGCCACAGCGCCGCGGGCTACACCATCGTCTTCTGCCTCCCTCGCTCCGGGTAATCTCGCCACGTACACTTCACCGCGTGTAGCCAATAATATCACACTTGTCGCTCAACTTACTACTGCCAAAAGTTAAGAATTCATATTCTTATGTATGTTAGATCGCACAGGCCACTCGTTTCGCCGCCCGCCGATGGGCAAAGCACTAGTGGCGGCAGCGTTGGCCGTGCTGACAGCACCACGCTGCCGCCGCCTACTGTTGGCAATGGCGCCGGAAGCGCCAACCAGGCGCACGCCCCCTTCCACTGGCAGCAACGGCGACAGAACCACCGACCAGGCGCCTCCTGCTACCGACAATGGTGGCGACGAAATTTGTAAGTGGTAGTTCGGAGCCTTTGCCGCACTGGTCTAGGATTAACACGTGGTTGATGGTGTGTTCGAACGCGTCGTACGTGTTACCACCGCTGCAGCTGCAGTAGTCGGATCAGAGCAGTGTCGAGCACCTCTTGCTCGGACAGTGTCAGCAGGGAATGACTCATTCACACATGTATATTCATTTGAGTATGTAGCATATACATACAGCCATACAGGTAACTACGACACGTACCGCATTATCCTTGGTCAGTTGGTCCTTGACGGCAGTGACAGCTCCATGGTCTCAGCCGGGGACAGGCGGCTGCTTGTTGGACCTGGACGTGTGTTGCCACTGGCGAGGCTGCCGGCGATGACCTGCTGGTCGTCAGCTTCGGGCAAGGTGCCGGTGTACATGCTGGTGAACTCGTCCACAGTCAAGTCGAAGAACTTGTTCAGGCCGAGCTTTGCTTGCACGCCACAGCAGCGCATTCCAGAGCTACAAAGAGGGCATCTTCACGGAGCCCTGCAGGACATCGCAGAAGCACGCAGGCCCGGCGTCTTCACTGGCCCTACGACACGTCTTTGAACCATGCCGTGCTGGTCATGGGCTACGACGTGAGAAGAAGAGAGAATTAGAGGGGTTAAATGTAAGAACACATGTCATGTTGTCATGCCACATCAGCTAAAAATGCCTACGTGTATTATATGGACCTGCGGTGCATCACTTGACAAGTTTAGGGACCCAAAAGTGCATTTTCCAAGTTCGTGGACCTAAGTGATACATGCTTACAAGTTCGAGGGCTACTGGTGCATTTAACTCTATAATGTTTGTTTAGACTCTATGTTGTTGAAGTTTTTATAGAAGACCGCCGGTAATATATATGTTTATAATGAAGAGAATTGGATATAAGGAAATAACATTGCTAGCTACAAGTCTATAAAAATGTTTTACTTTTATAACTTCCCTTGTCACAATTAATTACGATTGAACTTTTGACTTGAATTCTTAGAAAAATATAGCATTGAAAATGAAAAGATTTGTACACACTAATAGCATTATTTTTCATAATGCCACTACATTTTTATGTACGTCGATTGTCAGAGCTTGAGAAAGTATGAGCGACAGAAATCTTAAAGGGACCTATAATTACAACTGGTTGAATTATAACATATTGATTATATTGAGTTGTAAAAAGTAGTAGTAAATGAAGAGTTGAAGTTATGTCTTTAAGATAGAGAAAATTTAATAAGGACTAATTAAGAAAAAAAATAGCAGGCAAAGCACAAAGATGCACTAAACACATTCCAAAATTGGTCTTCTATTTGAACATACTTTGGAAAAGTTAAGGAAGATATAAGTGCAAGCTAAACATATTCAGCCGTGCAATAGAAGTCTTCCATTTGAGCGTATATTCAAATTTGATTAATATAAGAAACTATAAATGCAAGCCAAACATACGTGAGGTTCATAAAAGCATTCCACTAATCGCATTGATTAGAGTTGAAGTTATGTCTTTAAGATAGAGAAAATTTAATAAGGACTAATTAAGAAAAAAATAGCAGGCAAAGCACAAAGATGCACTAAACACATTCCGAAATTGGTCTTCTATTTGAACATACTTTGGAAAAGTTAAGGAAGATATAAGTGCAAGCTAAACATATTCAGCCGTGCAATAGAAGTCTTCCATTTGAGCATATATTAAAATTTGATAAATATAAGAAACTATAAATGCAAGCCAAACATACGTGAGGTCCATAAAAGCATTCCACTAATCGCATTGATTTCCATATGCATGCCTTATTTACAAGCTAGGCTCCACTATATATATACATGGGGTCCAAGCTTCCATCGACCTCAATGCTCTCCTATGCACAAAGAAAAGAATCACAAGCTAGCCATGGCTAGCAGCAAGAAAAGTATCGCCAGCGCCACCGCATCACCAATTGTGGTCGTGGTGGCACTGACACTATTGACCACACTTTTGACGACGATGGCTGATGCACAGCCGTACTCAGCAATGCCACCTGGCGTGGTTGGGGATTTGCTGCCACGGAGGAGGGTACCTCCCTCCGGGCCTAGCCATCCGCCGCCCATGGTGGCGATGCCACCATCGTGGAAAATACCACCCGTCGGACATAGGAAGCCTCCTTCCACGATGGCGATGACACCAAATGTGGTTGGGGATTTGCTGCCATGGGGGCCTAGCCCTTCGCCTGGCCGTCCGCTACCACCCGTCGGACCTAGGAAGACTCCTTCCATGGTGGCGATGACACCAAATGTGGTTGGGGATTTGCTGCCACGGGGGCCTAGCCCTTCGCCTGGCCGTCCGCTGCCACCATGTTGTGGCAAACCTACCAAGCCACCATCAATGGAGGAAATGATCGACCATGGTAAGCATGCGCTCGATGTGAATGAGAAACTTGTTGCTAAAGGAGGGATGAATACTCAAGGATGACGCAATGTAACTTCTAAGCAAGAACATAAATAATAAGAGCACTCTGGGTTGTTTATTTTTCTTGAGTTCATGCATATTGTCTCGGAAAGATTCTCTTCGCAACCCGAATGTCACCTTTGCTTCAAAGATGAAGTGGCCTACAATACCCTTCGGACAACCACCGTCTCAACCTTGTGTTGTAAGATCCTCTAGTTTCTTGCAAACTGACAGCAAACAAACAAAGCCTATCACTAACAAGCCGACAAGAAGGTGTAGTTCGATTTATTCGACTCAGGACAAGATTGACAAAAGAAATGAAAACATATGGATCGAAGTGTAAATAACTACTAGAACTCTACTTTTTGAGATGCTACATTTTATTTTCATTGGCTAATGAAAACAACATGCACGGTTGGTTGATGACCTAGTTTTAGACTTATCTTGGTACATGACAATATTGTTTATTTGGGGGTTGGTTGATGACCTAGTTTTATAGACAATAGTTCCAGCACAAATAGAAGCTAAGTATTACTGTAACATACAGTATCAGGTCTGTGTACAATGCCTTTTCCCTTGGAAGCATCAGGTTCGCGCCTCAGAAGCGTATTTGGAGAGGTTTGGGCACCCTTGCGATGTTTTTTTTGTTTGGATGGCCATCAACAACAGTTGTTGGACTGTCAATTGCCTGGCCAAGCGGGGGCTTCCTCACCCGCTAGCATGCCTGCTTTGTGATTAGGCGGAGGAAAATATTCAACACATCCTCATCTCATGTGTGTTGGCCTGGCAAATTTGGAAAGTGATTTTTCAAAAGCTAGACCTATTATGTTTTACTCCTCAAGGATCCAATATTCTCTTCTCTGGTTGGTGATGTGGCACCGTCAAAGGGGGTCTAAGGGCTTCACACAAAGGCCCCAATAGTCTGATAATTTTAGTTGCTTTTATTAGGAATTGTGGAAGCACCAAAATGCTTGTTTTTTTTAAGGTGCTAGGCCTAATATAGAGGTGCTTCTTCAATTTGTGGCCAATGAGAGTAATCTATGGTGTATGGTGGGAACCTCGGCCTTACATGAGTTCCTTGCTAGGCCGTTGGTCTTGGATCATCCCTAGGTCCTTTGTCGTTTGAGGTTGCTGATTATGTTTCCCTAGTTTGTTTTCTAGCATGATGTATTGACTAAACCCTCTTGGGGGGGTGACTAGGAGGGGCTGTCTTACTTTCCCTCCCTTTGTATTTTTTATTTTTCTTCTTAATGAAATGATACGTAGCTTTCGTACGTAATTCGAGAGAAAAATAGTGGAGGCCCAATGTTGTAGCCCACATAACGAGAGTACTATAACAGTGGTGGAGCCAGGATTTGAAACTTGGGTATTCCCACTTCCATCTCATAAAAAATTGAATCCATAGGCTTAAAATATTTGGGAAGCAAGGCTGAAAGGCTGATTTTTTTTTTTTTTTTTTTTTTGGGCTAAATTGAGTGGAAATGCTATACAGAATGTTGTATTATACATATATACATATAAGTATATACTCATATATACATTAAGATGTCCCAAAATAGTTGGGTATTCCCAGAAATACAAGGGAATACCCTTGAATCCGCCCATGTAGTATAGCCCGCGGGATTAGAGAGGAGGGAGTTTAGCATGACATCAGAGTGTTCAGGCTGGAGAGAGAGCTCAGCTCAAATTTTCTCACATTGTAATGCTGTACTTAATACAACAGTTGTCTTATTACATTAAAATGCATGTTTTTTTTTGGCATGTGGACGGTCATTCAAGCAGCGCGCCCTCTCTGACATAAACGTCCCCAATTGCTAAGGCCAGTGTTATTGGGAGTTTCATTAGAGTTGCATTTGTATTTAATGAGCTGCCACATAAGCGCTTTTGATGTTGTGGCAATGTTTTTAAGAAGAGAGAGAAGAAGTGAGTTTCAGGAGAATAAAACTCTTTTGGCACGAATACCAACTCTCTATGAGTTATGGAATTAAATATCTATAAAACTCTAGAATAAAACTCTCCATTGAAAATAGGTGTTTCATCCATATTTAATTTCAATCTACATGACGTGACCGTCTTAGAAACAATGTAATGAAACTCTCCACTTAGACTGGTCTAAAAATCATGAGTTGTTCAACAACATGATAGGTTCAGAATCATTTTTTTCTTTTTGAATTTCACGTTCGGAATCATTTTCATGAGCCGGATAAAAATGACTATGAGCTACATGTGAGCCCTTTAATTCCAAAACGACATGGACTCCACGTGTCAGGGTTTTTTTTTAATCACAGCACCCTCTCTTCGTCCCAATTTTTTACAATTTAGTCCTTTTTTAGAAGAAAATTTACGTTTGGCCTCCTGGAAGACGTAAACTCATCTTTGGATCCTGGGGGTCGGCGCCAGGACTCATGGCTCCGAGGTAACACGTCTCGGTACCACAGATCTTGGCTCCGAGGTGCCAGGGTGTTCACAGCGGGGCATCCTAAGTGGCGTTGATGTGGCCGGTACCTCGGAGCCACAGATCTTGGCTCCGAGCTCGGCGCCAAGATCTGTGGCTCCAAGCTCGGAGCCGTGGATCTCGGCTCCGAGCTCGGAGGCTCGAGGCCACAGATCTTGGCACCGAGCTCGGAGCCATGGATCCTGGTGCCCAGCATGGATTCAAAACCCACGGGCAAGTTTCTCTTGCCGAGGCTGCTTTTATTTCTTCCTCCTCCCTCTCGGGTTCTTCCTCTCCCTAACCCGTCCAATCTCTTGAATCGACGAATTTGACCTTGGATATTTGGATTTGATCCATACATCTTCGCAAGCAAGGTATCCTCTCTCCCCTTATCATTTTTTACGCATTGATTTGGTATATATTACGTCTACTTTGCAACCCTAGATACGTTATTACCTAATGTTCTGTGTGTTGAATTAGGTAATCCACTATTTCGTTGCGTTTTATTTGCACTACGTGAACTCGTTTCACTACCTATGCAATATTAAACTCAATATTATGATAACAAATAATGAAACCAACAACATTTGAAGGGCATGTTCTGCGCTATTTAGTTTGTCGTCATGTGCTTCAAATGTTGTTATGTTGATTAATGTGCTTGTTGGTTTCATTATTTGTTGTCATAATATTGAGTTTAATATTACATAGGTAGTGAAACGAGCTCACATAGTGCAAATAAAACGTAACGAAGTAGTGGATTACCCACCTCAACACACACAACATTAGGTAATAACATATCTAGGGTGGCAAAATAGACATAATATATACCAAATCAATGCGTAAAAATGATAAGGGGAGAGAGGATACCTTGCTCGCAAAGATGTATGGATCAAATCCAAGTATCCAAGGTCAAATTCATCGATTCAAGAGATTGGATGGGTTAGGTAGAGGAAGAACCCGAGAGGGAGGAGGAAGAAATGATAGGAGCCTCGGTAAGAGAAACTTGACCGTGGGTTTTGAATCCATGCTCGGCGCCAGGATCCATGGTTCGAGGTACTGGCCACGTCAACACCACCTAGGATGCCCTGCTGTGCACGCCCAGGCACCTCGGAGCCAAGATCTGTGACGCCGAGACGTGTTACCTCGGAGCCATGAGTCTTGGCGCCGAGATGAGTTTACGTCTCCTAGGGGCCAAACGTAAATGTTCTTAAAAAAATGACTAAATTGTAAAAAATTGGGTCCCCGGCAGAGCTCCCTCCCTCCCATCTCATCTTACCCCGCCAGCTGCCAATCTCTGCCACCGCCTTATCGACGACGGTGGCGTCCAATGGAGGCCACGCCGGACAAATCGGGCGGATCCGATTCCGAGCCACCGCCGGCGATCTAAACCCCAAGTGTCGTACTGCGCCACCAGTCGCGCTTGTCCGCCTCCTGTGCTTCCGTGGATCGTCCTCCCCTCCTCGATTTCCGTCCCTTCGTTCCCTGTGGCTTGTCCGCCTGCTCCAGTCCTCCTCGAACCGCCGTTCGCCGCTTCCTCCACCGCCGTGTCGCCGCCACGGCCCGCCAGCAGAGGGGCCGCCACGGCCGCCCGCCAGCAGAGGGCTGGAGCTCACTGCATACCCGTCACCTGCGGGCTGCGGTGGCCTTCACCGGCGCGAGACAAAGAGCAGGAGCAGAGAGTAAAGGACCTATGACTTCACCTGCCTGACAGCGTGCTCTGTTATCCACCTTGCACGACAAGCTGATATGTCCCTTTGAAGCTAGCTGATACAGCCGCCGATGGAGATGCCATAACACAATCGTCACTGCCAGAGAGGGGAGCTAGGAGCTTGAGATGGCAGGCATCGCCGTGAGCGCTGCCACTGGGGTGATGATCTCACTCCTCTCCAAGCTATCGCTGCTGCTTAGTGATCAGTACAGGCAGCTCAAGGGGGTCCGAAGGGATATTGAGTTCCTCAACTGTGAGTTGACTGACATGAATGCTGCATTGGAGAAGTTAGCGGGCATGGACAAACTTGATGTCCAAACAAAGGCGTGGAGAGACAAGGTTCGTGAGATGGCTTATGATATCGAGGATTGCATCGACATATTCATGCACCAGCATGGCCAGGGAGATGACAAGGACAGCTTAGTTAACAAGACTGCACGCAAGATTACGAAGCTGCGAGCGCGGTACCAGATTGCCAACAAGATTCAAAGCTCAAAGCTCGTGTTGAGGAGCAGAGTCAGAGCCGAGATAGGTACAGGATACATGAATCTATCTCAAAGTCTGGAGTGGTGGAAGTTGACCCAAGGCTGCCCGCGCTGTTTGAGGATGCAGAAAGGCTTGTCGGCATTGATGGTCCACAGTCAGAAATCATCAACAGCCTTCGTTTGGCTGTGGCGTGTCGTAAACGATCGTAAATTTTCAGCCGGAACAGTATTTTTCTCTCACACAAACCAGCCAGCAGTACTTCTTCTCGAACCAGCAACGAAACGAACCAGCCAACCGGACAGGCAAATTGTTGCTGGAAGGTGATGGTGATCCTGGACAACTTAAAGTGGTATCCATCGTGGGATTTGGTGGTCTTGGCAAGACAGCATGCTAAAATATAGAATGAGTTTGACTGTACGGCATTCGTGTCAGTGTCTACAAGTCCTGACATGCCAAAGATTCTGAAGGACATACTATCTAGAGTTGGATATGGTGGCACGGAAATGGAAGATGACGTCCAAAAGCTTATTGAGATCATTAGAGCATCGCTCAAGAATAAGAGGTATACGTTTATCTGGGATTTATGATGATATATTTAACTGTGGAAATTTAATATTTTCTATTTCTCATCGACTTTCTCAAATATCTAGATGATGTTTCCATTGTCTAATAGCAATATGTGAACTTACCAAGGAAGCTTATCAGTAGCTATCTCTATCTTGTTTGTTTGTTGAGCAAGTCAATTTCATTCATTTTCAAATTGCCAACCATTATTCTGTTTCCAACAAAAAATCATTTAAGAACAACACAGAATTAATTTTAGGAGTTCTTATTTTCATTTTTATCCACATAGATCTTTCTTTTTTATTTAACCAATTTATTGAAATTTTGTTTTCTTGTTTTTGAGGGAATGTTTTTTCTTAAATAATTTCCCTCTTGAGCTTAATGTTGTATGAAGTTGAAAAATTATTTGCCAAGCATGATTCTGTTTCAAACAAAAAAAATCAATTAATAACATCACAGAATTACATTTTAGGAGTTCTTATTTTTATTCACATAGATCTTTCTTTTTTTCTTTAAAATTTAGATTGAGTTTTTAGTTTTTCACATGAATTTTACTGTGCCCAAAAATAAGTTACCTTGATTTAAGCATGAATCATAAACCAAAGCATCACCGAACAAGTGCTCATTCTCCTGTTTGTTTCCACGAGACCAAGTGACGTATTACTCATTTACTTTGTCATATCGTTTTTGTATTTAAAATGTTGTTACTTTGCTTGTATCTTTGGAAATGCCATGTGGGTTGGATAACAGACATCATGCAGACAACATTGACTTTGAAGTCACTTACTTTGCAGGTACCTTGTCATAATTGATGACTTATGGAGCACCAAGGATTGGCGCACTATTGAGTGTGCTTTTGTGGAAAATAATTATGGCAGTAGAGTGACAACTACCACACGCAATCAAGATGTTGCTACAGCTTGTTGCTTTAGTGGTCAAGGTCATGTATACCATATGCAACCCCTTAATGAGCTTCACTCAAGAAGGCTGTTTTTTAAAAGGTTATTTGACACAGAGGGATAGATTAGGGGTAGCACCAATTGAAGAAAAGCTTGTCCAACACCGGTTGAGATGGTTTGTATAGAAAATCAGAGGGCAACTCACGTGGTGTTAATGTCGCTTAAGCCCTTGGCCACGACGGTTCCATGTTATATAAGCGTCAATTGACGCGAGAGGTTACACAGATGCGAGAACCATGGTGCGCCATGAGGAGAGTCCTAATTTATAGGGATTACATCAACTATTCTTATCCTATCTTCTAATCACAGCAGGACTCTCCTAAAATAGCGCATGGAAGGTTATCGCCAGCACATTACAATCACGCACGGTGAACGTGCAGTACAAGATAAGTTACTTCTAATAGCCTCCCTCAATCACAACTTCGATAGGTTGAGATTGACCTTGAAGTTTTCTATTAGCCTCACTGGTAGAGCTTTAGTGAACCCGTCTGCCACTTGATCCTTTGATGAAACAAAGTCGATCTCTAGTAGCTTGTGTTTAACTCGTTCTCTGACGAAGTGATAGTCTACCTCAATATGTTTTGTCCTTGCATGAAACACTGGATTGCTGGATAGATATGTGGCGCCCAGATTATCACACCATAATTTTATAGCTCTTGCAGTCTTCACACCAATTTCATAAAGTAAAGTTTGCATCCACATAATTTCAGCTGTAGCATTTGCTATTGCTTTGTACTCTGCCTCTGTGCTAGATCTAGACACAGTGGGCTGTTTTCTTGCACTCCAAGATACTAGATTACTCCCTAGAAATACTGCAAACCCTCCGGTTGATTTTCTGTCATCAATACAGCCAGCCCAATCAGCATCGGAAAAAGCACTAATAAGTGTGGATACTGACCTGTGAATCCTAAGTCCAAGTCCTGTACACTGCTTCACATATCTCAAAATTCTTTTTACATCTTCCCAGTGAACTGTCGTAGATGCGTGAAGAAACTGACACACCTTGTTGACAGCGAAGGAGATGTCTGGCCGGGTCAAGGTTAAGTACTGCAGTGCACCCACAATACTCCTGTATTTAGTTGTATCATTTTCACCTAGTAAAGTTCCTTCATGCAATGATAATTTTTCACTTGTGGATAGAGGCGTACTAACTGGTTTACAATCTGCCATCCCGACTCTCTTAAGTAAATCTGAGGCATACTTGTCTTGAGTAAGTAAAATTCCATCTTTTACCTTATTCACCTCTATTCCAAGGAAGTAGTGAAGATCACCAAGATCTTTGTGCGCAAAGTCTTCCTTGAGATCACCGAGCAAAGCTGATGTTGCTTGTGGTGTTGAACTTGCCACAATTATATCATCTACATACACCAAGACAAACATGGTAATGCCTCCCTTGCTAAAATAAAATAGAGAAGTGTCGGCCTTCGACGCCTTAAACCCAAGTTGCACCAGTTTTTCACTAAGTCTTGAATACCAAGCTCGTGGAGCTTGTTTAAGTCCATAAAGCGCCTTATCCAGTTTGCACACATATCTTGGCTTGTTGGGATCTTCAAAACCAGGAGGTTGCTGCATGTATACTTCCTCTTCTAGCAATCCATGTAAAAAGGCATTCTGCACATCAAGTTGCCGAAGAGACCAACCACAAGACACAGTAAGTGATAGAACAATACGAATGGTTGCAGCTGGGCTAAAAGTATCTTCATAATCAATGCCATAACGTTGCTTAAATCCTTTTGCAACTAATCGGGCTTTATATCTATCAAGACTGACATCAGACTTTTGTTTTATTTTGTACACCCATTTGCATCCAATGACATTCCTTCCTTTTTGTGGCGAAATGAGATGCCAAGTCTTATTTTTCATAAGAGCTTCATATTCAAAGTCCATAGCAGCTTTCCAGTGTTTATCATGCAGCGCTTCATCTAAATCATGTGGTTCACCAGTAGACATTAACATGCCATACCTGATTGTACCATCCTTGTAGATTTTTGTCTTGCTGATGCCGTGTTGGAGCCATGTGACGGGTCGAACAGCAGGAGCAGCAGGATCACCAGTAGAATCGGCGGGCACAGTTGATCCAGAGGGCTGAATCCCCCCGGGGATCTGAGGCGAGCCAGGCGACCTGGGAGACAGCAGATCACCGCTCCCTAGTGCCGTGTCCCCCGCGGTAGGCGGTGGTGAAGTGCTGTCGCCCCCTCCTGGCGTTGTGGCGGCAGCTGGACCACATGCAGGCGACACACTCGCATGAGCTGATGATGAAACGCCCAGCGCTAATTGGTCGCCACAATCTCCGTGTGATGCAGTCCCAGGTGGTGGGACCGAAGCTGCTGCTGGCGACAAGTTCATGTGGCTCCCGTGGTCGCATGCTGAGGGTGCCTGTTCTTCCAAATTGCTGCGGCAAAATTGGTGAGAAAAATTGGCAGGCAAATTAGACCGTTGATTATTCATACTATTGTCCCCTGATTGACATGGCAAATTAGAAAAATGAGGTAGACATGGCGACGGATATGTCTCTCAGGCTCTGATACCATATAGAAAATCAGAGGGCAACTCACGTGGTGTTAACGTCGCTTAAGCCCTTGGCCACGACGGTTCCATGTTATATAAGCGTCAATTGACGCGAGAGGTTACACAGATGCGAGAACCATGGTGCGCCATGAGGAGAGTCCTGATTTCTAGGGATTACATCAACTATTCTTATCCTATCTTCTAATCACAGCAGGACTCTCCTAAAATAACGCATGGAAGGTTATCGCCAGCACATTACAATCACGCACGGTGAACGTGCAGTACAAGATAAGTTACTTCTAATAGTTTGGACATGTCCAACGGAGACCTCCAGAGGCACCAGTGCGTAGTGGAATCCTAAGCCAGGATAGTAATGTGAAGAGAGGCAGAGAAAGACCGAAGTTGACTTGGGTAGAGACAATAAAAGAAGACGTGAAATGATGGAATATACCCAAAGAGTTAGCCTTATATAGGAGTGCTTGGAAGACAACTATTCACGTGCCTAAACATTGATTGCTTCTGGTGGGTTTCAACTCTAGCCTACCCCAACTTGTTTGGAACTTAAAGGCTTTGTTGTTGTTGTTGTTATTTGACACAGAGGACGGTTGTCCTAAGCAATTCAAAGAGATTTCGGATGACATGCTAAAGAAATGTAAAGGTGATACCATTGGCGATTAGTAGCATTGCAAGCCTTTTGGCTAACCAATGCATGCCTGTGGAGACATGGGAAAAGGTACGTAATTCATTGGGTTCTGAATTAGACACGAATCCTACATTGTAATGGATGAGACATGTGCTAAGTCTTAGCTACAATGATCTGTCCTATTAGCTCAAAACATGCTTGATATATGTTGGTACTTATCCTGAAGATTATGAAATTCGCAAGTTTGATTTGTTGAGAAAATGGATTGCTGAAGGATTTGTTAGGGTAAAACATGGTTTAGATCTGGAGGAAGCTGCTGATAACTGTTTCAATGAACTCATCAACAGAAGTATGATCCAACCTTGCTTCAGTGATGATGATTCTGGTGAGGTGTGGGCATGTCAAGTTCACGACCTAATGCTTGATCTTATTATATCGAAGTGCAAAGAGGAAAACTTCATCACTATAATTGATAGGAAGTTTACCATGAATAGAGCATCGAAAGCTCGTTGGATCAGCCATCAGTTCAGTCACAGAGACATGGCCCTGTCAGTCGAAAGGATGGATCGATCACAAGTTCGGTCATATAATACCTTCCCTGCAGCTGATTGTATGCCTCCACTTTCAATGTTTATACTTCTGAGAGTTTTGGACATGGACCAGGGCTCATATGCGGGGCCACAATCTTTGTGCCTTGACTTGTCTGCTATAAATCACTTTTTTCTGCTGAGCTATCTAAGGGTCAGAGGCTTTCATTTGGAGCTGCCAAAGGAATTTGGGAAACTGGAGCATTTGATGACCATAAATTTGTCATGGGCAGGGTTGTATCTCAGTAACCAATCATCAGATTTTACTTCCTTGTCGTCTTTAAGATATCTATCTCTTCCAATACTTGGAGGAAGTATAGCATTGAGAAATGGGCTTAGCATGCTGTGTAACCTACACACTCTATTCCGTTTTGACATCGGGATTAATTCCATAGAGTGCATCAGGGATCTTGGCGAGTTGACCAATCTTAGAGAGCTAAGTGTGTTTTACTCTAGGCTAGGTGATGCATAAGATAATACTGACACAATCCTGGCTGCCTCTCTTGACAAACTTGGGAACAGCAAACTCCGCTGTCTGGTTTTTAAGGATGTGTCAGGTTCTAGAGCCCCTTCAACACAATTCTGGAGTAATTGCTTGTCACGTCCACGGCATCTGCAGAGGCTTCGTTTGGGCGGAGTAATAGTACCCAAGATCCCAAATTGGATAGCACATGCTGAAAGGTTGGCCTATTTGTATCAGCTAGAAGTCTAGGAGCTTTGGAGTGATGACATCAAGGTTCTTGCACAGTTGCCCTGCCTCATTTTCCTCATGTTAGAAACTAAGACAAACCCAGAGAAAAACATCATTATCCACTCAAACACATTCCCTATCCTGAAGCATTTTGATTTCTGTTGTGAGCTGTCACTCCTCACTTTTGAGCCAGCCACAATGCCACAGCAAAGAGACTGAAGATACTACTTGATGGTCGTGGACAAGGTGCAATGCAACTGCAAGAGGGCAGTCCAGTTGGTGGGATCGAGCACCTTGCTAGCCTTGAAGAGATCTCCATGTATATATATGCCAAATGTGATCATGGGTCAAAAATAGAATCTGCATGCAGAGACACCATCAGCAGGCATCCTAAAAGTCAAGCCATACAGATTCATGTAGACTGTATATGAGTGGAAAATGGAAACGTCAGAGACTGTTGCTGGGATTAGTGGAGGAGGATAAATATGCAATAGTACCAGGCAGTCAAGAAGACTAAAAATGCTGGATTACTGGTATGCAGTATACTTATGCTGTTCTTAGTTTGTTCTGTGCTTTGTCTCTTCTTTTATTTTTGAAATATATGATCATATCCTCTCTGTACCTTTCTTTGATTAGGATTTGAATATATGGTATATGTTTTGCTCTGCTACAGTGCTACATTGGATGCCTTGTTCATGCCTTCAACTCTCATGGTTGATTACTTGATTCTGCCAGGGGCAAAATAAATAGGCACAAGGTCATCGCTCTTTTAATAGAAAATCTTACCTGTCATCAGACTAAAATGATTGATCTGTCCATACAATCTGTTCACAATAATACTGCCAAAGACCATTCTCTAAATTTTGTTCTTCCATTTAAACTAAGACTACAATTGATTAAAGGATTATAACTGACACCTCCAAGTGACCTGTTTTGTTTTTGTCAATACATAGCTTCAAATTCTAGAGAGGATATATTTCTTTTTTCTGATCAAAGAAGTATAAGAAAATGCCACAGAAACTGCATATTTTTTCCTCATAACCTAATGACACAGAAACTGCAAATATGGTTTTTTTTTCCCTCTGATCAAAGAAGTACCAATTATGACATAGGAACTGCAGATTTCTTAACCTTATGACTAGCGCTGTGTAAAATGCTCCGATGACTTTAGGATCATGACCTTCATCAGGGCACGTGAAGTAAGGAATGTGATATTGACACGGTGTAGCTGTGTCATCTATTTAGACTCTGAAAATGTATGCGAGTCACAGAAACTTTTTTCCATTTGTGGTGGGAAATGGTGAGCAGTACTGTTGGTGACATGTTAAGGAAAGGAATGAACTCCCTCATTATCCTTGGAGCCTGGACTTTATGGACACACTGCAACAAATGCGTTTTTGATGGCACAGCCCCAAATATTGCAGGCGCACTGGCTGTAGGTGAAGATAAGGGAAAGGCGTGGTCGTTGGCAGGGGCTCGAGGTTTATCACCTCCTAGCTGCCATTGCTCCGGGTGGTTAGGTCCATGTCTTGTGTGTTTTTTTGTTTTTTGTGTTGTTTGGCCACTTGTCCCCTTTTTTCATCTTTTTAATATAATGTGCGTTTTCAAGAAAAAAATGTATGCGAGTTCCCTGGAACCCTGAAACTTGGTTATGTTTTTGCCGAAGCTAAACTGCTAAAGAAGGTTATGTGCATGATTTATCACGCTACAAGTGGTCCTGGTGTAGTGGTGTACAAACCTTGAACTACTAATTGTTTGGCTGCATGATTTGTCTAATTTTTTCTCCTTTTTTTTTGCTGGTTTGTCCAGTACTAAATAGGACTGCAAATATATATCTACTTTCCCAGGTGGTTCTTGGTCTATTAGCCTTCCATGGCACAGATGGATCATCCTGCAAAATAATATGAGGTCTGATCTGCAGAAGCCAACTTCATACAGATTGAGATCATTTGTGTCCAGCTTTTTCATTATTTCTTCGCTTCTTTGTGATACAACTACCTCTGTTTTGCTAGATGACTATATTAATCACTTGTGAATATGCTTATTCATTTCTGAGCTGTCATGCTTGAATTTTGAGCCAGCTGAATATACAGAAACCTTGCAACATCAATTGTTCAGCAGTACAATCAGCATAACTTTCACAAAAATGTACGACTGGTTTGTCCGGTACTAACTTGGACTAAATATATGTTGCAGACCACTTACTCCTAGGTGGCGTGTATGGATTGACAAGCATCAACGAGAAACACCCTTTATAAAAAAAAACTTCCTTTATTAAAAAAATATCTCATTTCCATGTTATCCAGAGCCCCCAAATAATCGTTAACAAAAGGAAGGCTCAAACTTTAGCCGACTGAGCACCCTAGGAACTAGTCACCATTGAATTTTTATTAAAGCATTGTAATTCACGGGGAATCCTAGAAGACAAAGCAAGAGAGACGAATCTATGGTGCATTCTGTTTGTCCTTTGGCCAATCTCCATGATGGTCCTTTCAACTTGGGTGTGGATCCCAATGACAAAAATGAATTGCGCAGATTTCTGCATCATAATTCATAAGAACCTCCACCACCCAGTTACATGGAAATTCCACTAAACCATTGCACTCAAATGCAGAGCACAAACCACCTCACACCATTGCCCCTGCTAGAGGGGGGCTAGCTAGGAGGTTGAGATGGCAAGCATGGTGGTGAGTGCTTCCACTGGGGTGCTGAGCTCACTCCTCTCCAAGCTATCAGTGCTGCTTAGTGATCAGTACATGCAACGCAAGGGGGTCCGAAGAGATATCGAGCTCCTCAGCTGTGAGTTGACTAACATGAATGCTGCACTGGAGAAGCTAGCAGACATGGAGAATCTTGATGGCCAAACAAAGGTGTGGAGAGACAAGGTTCGTGAGATGGGCTATGATATCGAGGATTGCATTGACATTTTCATGCACCAGCTTGGCCAAGGAGATGTTTCACAAGATTGCGCGCAAGATTAGAGAATTGCAACTGCACTATCAGCTTGCAAACATGATTCATGACATCAAAGGTCGTGTTGAGGAGCAGAGTAAAATACGAGATAGAAGGATTGATGAATCTATCTCAACATCTAGAGTGGTGGTGGAAGTTGACCCAAGGCTGCCTGCATTGTTCGAGGATGCAGAAAGGCTTGTGGGCATTGATGGTCCTCGGGAGGAAATCACCAAATTGTTGATTGAAGAAGATGGTAGTCTTTCTGGACAACTTAAAGTGGTGTCCATCGTGGGTTTTGGTGGCCTCGGCAAGACAACACTTGCGAACCAAGTACACGCTAAAATAAAAAATGAGTTTGAATGTTCGGCGTTTGTGTCCGTCTCTAGAACTCCCTACATGCCAAAGATTTTAAAGGATATACTGTCCGGAGTTGGATCTGATGGTAAGGAAGTGGAAGATGACGTCCAAAAGCTTGTCAAAATCCTTAGAGCACAACTCACAAATAAGAGGTATATGTTTACCTAGGATTTAAGATAATGTATTTATTAGTCGAAGTTTCTAATTCTCCATTTCTAGTCGCTGTTCTCAAATATCTACAGTTTATTGTCTAATAGCAATATGTGAACATACCAAGTTTTTCTAAATTAAGCTTATAGATAGCTATCTTGTACGTTGAGCAAGTCGTTTTGATTAAAAATTTTCAAGCATGATTTGTTACCAACAAAAGGTCATAATATCTAACATCACAAAATTAAATTTTAAGAGTTCTTATTTCAACATAGATCTTTTTTTATTTATACGATTTATGGATTTTTTCTGGTTTTCGTGGGACTTTGTTTTCTTAGATAAGTTCCCCCTCAAGCTTAATGGTGTGTATAAAGTTGTACTAAAGATGAAAAAAAATATTAACTGGTGTCTATACTCTGTAGTAGTAGTGGTATATTTTGCACTTTCAAAAAATTAGGATGAGTTTTAGTTTTCAAATAAATTTTACTAGGCACTAAATATGTAATAGGTTACTTTGAGGTTACCCATTACGTGGAATTAAGCATGAACCATAATCAAAACATCATGGAACAAATGTTTATTCCTCTGCTTCTTTCCACGAGACCTAAGTCGTGGCATGCTACTCATATTTTCTTTGACCTATTGTCATTGTATCTAAAACTATATCACTTTGCATGTATCATGTGGAGACTTTGACTTAGAAATTACTTATTGCAGGTACCTTATCATAATTGATGACTTATGGAGCACCAGAGATTGGCGCACTATTGAGTGTGCTTGTTTACACCAAAATTTAGAAAGAAGAACGCGGGAACTCAAAGCTTTTAAGATTGTGTCGTCAAGGAATCAATCAGATGTGAATCGATATTAGGAGCAGGAGTACTATAGATCTGATCGATCAGTCGTCAAGGAATCACATTAGGAGTACTATAGAGCTGTACTATAGTTGTACGATCAGTCATGACACCATCGTATTAGGAGTAGGAGTACTATAGATCTTGGCGAGTTCTTCAGCAAACAGGATTGCATCGACTGATCGACCTACAGCTTGCTTGTGAGTACCGTCACGACTTGTATTATGCTTGTAAAGCTACATCATCTGATTGATCTTTTATGAGCTATACTGTAAGTTAGTTGTCGATTCATATTGTTGTTTGTAAGGCAGCATCAGCTAATTGATCTCTTACGAATCATAATATAGATCAAAGTTATCGGTTTTGTATTAAATAACTTATTGTTTAGTACAATATCACGAGTTATCGAATCAACTAAAATTAGTAAGATTTCACTTACTGTTTTTGGTTGATTTACCGGTTATCAATCTATTATAATTAATGTTTTATTAATTATAATAAATTATCCGATTAAGATAGAGATAGATTGGTCTCAAATTATCTTAATTTGTCGTCCTTTGATATGGTCATGCTTTAAATCTTATAATTGATGGCTTAATTCTGCTAGATCGGCTGTTTTATTTCTATCCCAATCAAACATAGTATGCATTCAAAGACATGTTCAAATCTTCAAAAACCCACTAGTTAATGAGATCTAATCTAACGATACTACTATAGCTGCATCGACTGGGTCGAATTTCACCGGTAAGACTTTAGATTGGAAATTATCAATTAGTGATTTTGTTCACGATCAAGACATGTACTCCGTTTGTTTGCTATACATATAATCGGCTATTTTATCCGATTTGCTTGTAATTTCACGCATATAACATGATTTCATGAACCTGTCAATATATAGACGGATTTATAGATTTTTTGGCTTTAGTCTGATGTCATTATCATAGCTGTATCGATCCGATTGAACCTCACTGTTGATGATAACATATTAGATTCAGAGTGTTTGTAGATTCATTTGCAATAGACAGTCGATTTGTTCGCATATTATGTCATTTCTCGTTAAACTTATTAGCTCAACGCTTTACACTGATTATGTCCATCTAGCTGACGATGTTTTCTTATATTACTTATATTTGGGTGTATTGTACTTGTTTTTTTTCGTCTAGATTAATCAAACACAATAAAATCGCTGTGACCCATGAGTATCGGTTATCTTGAATTCGTACCATTATCATTGATATTAGCCAATAATCTTCAGTTTAGCGATCCTTGCTTTTACTGATATGTTGGATATCGACTATTTAGTCGATAGCCTTATCGAATCGCCTATTTAGCTGCATATTTGGAACTGTCTGGAGTAACACTGACATGTTCCGCCTTAAATTACTGATAAGATTTTCTCTCCTTGTCAATTGCAGGTCAAATTGAATGGCACGTCGTTGGGTTTTCAGAATCGACTGGTCCTGTGTTGAAGCCAAGCAGATCTCTAATCCCATTCTGTTTAGATCATCCGGCTTACTGTGTGTTGGTCACATTGCCACATTTTTGTGCCAACAGTGCATTTGTGGAGAATAATAATGGCAGTAGAGTGATAACTACCACAGGCATTCAATATGTTGCTACAGCTTGTTGCTATCCAAGTCGAGGCCAAGTATTCGAGATGCAACCCCTTAATGAGCTTCAGTCAAGTAGGCTGTTTTTCAAAAGGTTATTTGGCACGCTGGATGGTTGTCCCCAACAATTTAGAAAGATTTCAAATGACATGTTAACAAAATGCAAAGGTGTACCATTGGCAATTACTAGCATCGCAAGCCTTTTGGCTAACCAAAGCATGCATGTCGAGATATGGGAGAAGATACATAATTCAATGGGTTCCGAGTTGGACACAAATCCTACACTGGAATGGATGAGGCATGTGCTAACTCTTAGCTACAATGACCTGCCCCATGAGCTCAAGACACAAATCCTACCCTATTCGCTTGGGCTTATTTGGTTTATAAGCCGTACTTTTTTAGCCAATGAAAAATATTTTTCTCTCACATCAAATCAGCCAACAGTACTTTCAGCCATGGCTTATCAGCCAAACAAGCCCAAGCGAACAGGACGATGCTGGTTATATCTTGGTGCGTATCCTGAAGACTGTGTAATTTGGACTAATGTTTTGGTGAGAAAATGGATAGCCGAAGGATTTGTTAGGGAAAGGCATGATTTAGATCTGGAGGAAGCTGCTGAAAATTGTTTGAACGAACTCATCAACAGAAGTATGATCGAACCATGCTTCAATGCTCATGGTGAGGTGCAGGCATGTCAAGTTCATGACCTAATGCTTGATCTTATTATATCCAAGTGCAAAAAGGAAAACTTCATTACTATAATTGATAGGAACTTCACCATGATTGGAGCACTGGAAGTTCGTCGGATCAGCCATCAGTTCCATAACAGAGACATAGCCCTGGTATTTGAGAAGATGTGTCAATCACAAGTTCGGTCATATAACTTCTTCCCTGCAGCTGACTGCATGCCTCCGCTTTCAAAGTTTGAGCTCTTGAGAGTTTTGGACATGGACCAGCTGGACTCATATAGATATGTGCGACCAGAATCTACGTGCCTTGATTTATCTTCTATAAATCACCTTTTTCTGCTGAGGTATCTGAGAGTCGCGGGCTTTCGTTTGGTGCAGCCAAAGAAGTTTGGGAAACTGAAACATTTGATGACTCTAGATATTGAATCCACAATATTGTGCCCCATGGACCAATTCTCAGATTTTACTTCCTTGTCATCTTTAAGGCATCTCACTCTTCCAAGACGAGTTGGAAATGTAGTGCGGATAAATGGGCTTAGCAAGCTGTGCAACCTACGCACACTGATCTATTTTTGCATCGGGACTTGTAATTCCGTAGAGTGCATCAGAGATCTTGGTGATCTGACCAGTCTTAGGGAGCTTATTATGATTTATTACTCTTGGCCAGGTGACGTAGAAGATGATCCTGACACAATACTGGCTGCCTCTCTTGACAAGCTTGGGAACAGCAACCTCCGTCTTCTGTATTTTCATAAGTATCAGTTTTATGGCAGGCCCCTCTCAACACAGTTCTGGAGTAATTTCATCACACGTCCAAAGCATCTGCAGAGGCTTCGTTTGGACGGACATATAATACCCAAGGTCCCAAATTGTATTGTGCATGCTGACAGGTTGGCCTATTTGGAAGAACTACGAGTCCAGGAGCTCGGGCGTGATGGCATCCAGGTTCTTGGACAGTTGCCCTGCCTCATGTACCTCGTGTTAAGAGCTAAAACAATCCCAGAGAAAAACATCATTATCCACCCAAACACAGTCCCTAGCCTGAAGCATTTCGATTTCTCTTGTGAGCTATCGTTCCTCACTTTTGAGCCATCCGCGATGCCATGGCTACAGATACTGAACATAGATCTTGATGGTCGTGAAGAAGGTACAATGCAACTGCCAGAGGGAAGTCCAGTTGGTGGCATCGAGAACCTTGCTAGCCTTGAAAAGATCTACTTGTTGATACGAGCCAAATGCGTTCGCAGGCAGCCAAGAAGACTAAAAGTAGAGTCCGCATGCAGGGAAGCCATCAGAAGGCACCCGAAAAGTCAATCCATGCTGATTTACAGTGTATACTGTAACGAGTTTGACGAAATTGGACATGAAGTACAGGGAGCCAAGAAGACTAAAAATGATGGATTACTGGTACGCTTGAGCTGTCTTTATTTGTTCCGATCTTCGTCTCTTCTTTGAATTTTTAACCATGGTCATGTTTGCTTTGTTCCTTACAGCTGACTTGGATTTGCTACAGTTTCACCAAGTCGTACATTCATAGTATATGTTTGCAAGATTTGATCTGCTACTTTGGATGCCCTGTTCATGCCTTCACTTCCCCCTGTTGGTTCAGCCATAGAGGCATAACAAATAGGCATGAGGGCTATAATATCGCTGTTTTCATAAAATATCGTACTCGTCATGATTAATTTGTCCTGTATATGATCTGTCGTTCGCAATAGTGCTACTCAAAAACCATGGTCTAAATTTTGGCAGCCATTTTTTTACTTTCATTTAAACTAAGAATGCAGTTGATTGAAAAACTATAATTGGTACCTCCAACTCAATTGTTTTGTTTTCGTCAAGTACATTGCCTCAATACTTTAGAGAGGATGTATTTTTTTTCCTCTGATCAAATTAAAGAACTATCAATAATGCCACAGTACCTGCAGATTTCTTCGTCATAAAACCTTATGACTAGGGCTACCTAAAATGCTGCTATGACTTTAGAAGTTTGATCATCATCAAGGCACTTGAAATAAGGGGAATTGTTATGTTCACAGGGCGTATCTGTCATCTATTTACACTCTGAAAATGTATATAGCTTCTCTAGAGCCCTGAAACTAAGCTATTTTTGCTTTTGTCAAAATCAAATTTCTTCAGGAGGTTATTAATTTTTTTTCTCACAATATAAGTGGCCCTGGTGTACAGAGCCTTGCATTACCAATTGTCCGATTGTTGGCAGTACAATTTGTATAATTTTCACAAAGTGTATGGTTGGGATTGTCCAGTACTACACTAACTAGGACCGTGTATGTTGCGTATCGCCTACTCTCCCAGGTGGCACTTGGTTTCTTTGTCTTCCATGGCACAGCTAGATTACCTCCTGCAAAATAAAATGATGGCTGATCTGCAGAAGCGCAATACTCAAATAGATTGAGACTATTTCTGTCCTATTGCTTCAATAGTTCTTTATGATAACACTACCTCTGTATTTCCAAACGACGGTAGTCACTTGTGTAGTATGCTTGCTCCCTTTCTGTATGTTCTCAAACGAACATCTACTGTCTTCGATATCCTAAGTGCCCTCTTTTATTCTGCAATTGATTTTTCGTTGGTCAATGGGACCCAGGTCGAAGAAATATGGAGCCAGCCAAGTTAAATATTTGTTGAGAAAACACTTCTGTACAAGCTTCATTATTCAGCGCCACATGCTGGCTATCTTTATGTCCATGTGTCATACATACTTTTGCTAAATGCTTAGTTTTTTTCCTGGTTCATTGACGTCATACCAAACTTGCCTAAGTTCGAAGGTTTGTCTGGCCTAATTCCAAAGAACTTTTGGGTTATAATACAATACTGCCTGCATATATTTCGATAGCATGCACCTTGACGGCTGACGCGCTGCTTCATCGGTAGCGCCAGTGGCGACGTCCATAGCATAGCGGAACGGGCCTAGTCACGGCGCTGCCGGAACGAAGAGAAAACGAATTGATTATCTGAAACGCTACATGTAGGGCGTCCGGACGGACAGACCCTACACTCGCCCCCGCCTGTGTCTGCCCGCTTGCTCTGCTCGTGAGACGGATCCTGTCCTCGTCCGCGCCGGCCCCGCTCGCGTCCCCGGTGCTCGCCGTGTTGCGCACGGCGATCCTGACACGCTAGGCGCTCGCTAGCTCGCTCTCGGACTCACGCCTCCTGTCGCGGCCGTACTCTATCTGCGTGCCTCTGCCCCTGCCAAGGTCCGTGCCGCTGATAAGCTCCACACCGGCGACCTCCGCGCCACTTCATGGCTTCGAGCTCCGTGCCGGTGTCGAGCTTCTGCGTCGATGAGCCTCCATTCGTCCAAGCAACAATCAGATACTACGCTAAAAGCGCTTGTTGCAATAGTATGTTTCAAGTATTTCTAATGTTTCCGAGGTATTTGCAAGTGTTATATATCGATGTTGCAAAAGTAGATCGGGATGTTGCAGATGTTGTAATGGCTATACACGTATGTTTCAAGTGTATGTTTCAAATGTTTCATCTGTTCCGACGAATGTTGCAAGTGTTTTGTCTGGATGTTGCAAAAGTAGATCTAGATGTTGTATATACATGCATGTTGCAAGCATATGTTTCAATTGTTTTCAGATATTTTTATACGTATGTTTACAAGTGTTTTATTCGGATGTTGCATATGTGTGTAATGGTTTTTCAGGTGTTTTCGCAAGTGTTTCAGACGCTTGTTTTAAGTGTTTCATCTGTCTTCTTTTGTATATTGCCACTATTACATCTGGATGTTTTAAAAGTAGATTGGGTGTTGCACATGGAATGCGCGTGGGAAGTGGCCAATGGCGTGGCGACGTCCGGGGCGGCAGCGCAGGACCACTACTGGTGCGCTCCCCCGCGAGCCAGGCACGCTAGGCGCTCGTTCGCTCGTTGTGTTGGCATCGTCCGGATGCATTTGGTAAGTTTGTATTTATTTTTATTTTTATTTAAGGTTAACTAAGAACTTGTACGTTTGTTTGAACACTAGACTAGATTAAAAATTAAAATTTGATTGAATTTTCTTGGACGGTACGATGTTGTTTCGAGCCTAAACGCTGAGCCAAACGCCTTTTTTTTCTGGCCACCTTCTGCCGCCACGGAGTAGACGCCATGCCACCGCACGCGCGTCGCCCATCGCAGGGTCTGCCAAGTGCCAACAAAGCCCCCCACCCGCACCGCAGTTCCTCGAAGCCGTACCACGCGGGTACGCCGACGCGCCGCACCACCACCACCACCGTCGGCCTCGTCAAGTCGCTCCACTAGCACCCGTCGACGTGCTGCAGCCTCCTCCATAGCTGCCGTATAACCGCAAGCAACCTCCCCCACCTTGGAGTTGGAGGCACGCCACCTCCAGAAGCAGCAACTCCGGCCGCACGCCGCCAGATTCGCGCGGATGCCCCCGTCGTCCATCTCAGCCTCAACTTCTTCCCTGCGCCGCCAATGTGCATCCTCTCCTCCACTGCAGCTGTCGCCGATGTGATCTGGCCGAAATGGGTAGATCCGGGCGTCGGATCGCCGGATATGGCCACCCCCGGCGAGGATATGGCTCGCTACGCCGTTGCCGCCTTCCCGGACGCCAGACACCACAACCACACCACACCACAGGAGACGCAGCGGCACCGTATCAGCCGCCGCAACAACGAAGGCATGCCGCCGCAGTCATGGCCATCGCCGTCAGGAGCAGCGCAAAAGAAGGGGAAAGGTCCGCCACGTCCACACGGGACGCCGTCAACAGCAGACTAACCGTACCCCTGATTTCTATATTGTTGGCGTGTTCTAATTGTGATTATGTAAGCAAGTGACTAGAATGTAAACGGTGGTAGAGATGACAAAGTCAACAGAAGAAGGATCCAGGAAGAGCGCCAGAAATTACCCCAACTACTAATGCTTTTGCACAAGAGCTCTCAAGAAAGTGAACAGAAGCAGAACACGGGAAGAGCTCTCAAGAAAATTCCCCACCTTCATGGCTTCTCTTCTCTAACCCCAACACCAAAATTCCTCCAAATCAAGAGATTATTCTTCAAGATGGTACCAAGAGCAGTCCAATCCTATTGCTCCCGCTCCATTCTTGGTTGATTCTTGATTTGGTGGTGCCTGTTAGAATAAACCCTGAGCACCCGCTAACCATAGAAGGCAACTTAGACTGATTAGTGGCTAAGTATGGCAGGCGGCATGTCCCTGGATGTTGGGATGGCAACAACCGATCCGGGCATACCGTGATTGTCTCAATTAGTTTGTAACCATGTATGACTGCATGTAATTTCTTTATAATGAAAGGAGAGACACCAGAAAACGCTGCCGCTTGCAGCACCAAATTACTTGTGTTTGCGTCTCATTGTTCATCCTCTTCGTAGTTCTGACAATTGGCATCGGAGCCGGTTTCCATCGTCGCCATGGCATCCCAGTCGCCCTCAAGGAGAAGTCGATGATGCTGATAACGAGGAAAAGAAGCCCAGGCCTTCAACCTCGCCGTCACGACGACGTCGTGGGCGCTCAACAGCCGACGCCGCTCTCGGCTCACGAAGTCGTGGAAGCGTCATCGAAGCGACCATCCGCGAACGTCGCGTGGCCGATGCTCACGCAGCGGACGAACTACCCGGAGTGGGCGTTGGTGATGGAGGTGAACTTCCAGACGCTCCAGCGTCTGGGACGCCCGTCGACATCGGCATCGACGAAGACCCCGATGAAGATGAGTACCAGCAAGACCGCCCGAAGCCATGGCGGGTCTCTCCGCGCCGGTCCCCTCCGAGATGTGGGGACGCCGTCATAAGCGGACCGTGAAGGAGGCGTGGGACGCCGTCAAGGTGCTCCAGTCGGCGACGGCCGCAGCGCGACTCGACGCCACGCAGCAGCTTCACCGCGAAGTTCGGCGCGCTCGTCTTCAAGGAGGGCGAGTCCGTCTCCGAGTTCGGCATCGCATCACGTCGCTTCGCCGTGAACCTCCGCACCCTCGGCGACCACATCTCGGACGCCGAGGTGGTAAAGAAGCTCCTGCAGGTGGTCCCTGAACGCTTGTTAGGCCGCCGTCTCCTCGAGATGTTCCTCGATCTGAACACGGTCTCGATCGAGGGCGTCATCGACGGCCGCCGCGCGTGTTCGAGGAACGCGGCAAGCCGAAGGAGATCACAGACGGCATGGGGAGGCTCTGCTTCTCGCGAGGAAGACTGGAAGCCCGCCGGAAAACCCGCGCCGCGGCGGGGAGAGCTCCGTGGCGGTGCTCGGCTCCAACATCGTGGAAAGCCACGAGGACGCGACGCCTTGGCGAGGCGCTCTCGAGATCCGGGCAGCGCGATGGCCGTGGCGGCTAGCGGCGGCGGCAAGCCGCCGCGCGCGGTGACCGTTGCTGTGATTCCTGCGGGAAGACGGGCCACTGGGCCAAGGATTGCCGTGGCAAGAAGAAAAATCGGCCCATGTGGCCCAAGTCGAGGAGGAAGAGGATCGGGCCCCTCATG